GGGGCATCTTGAGAGGCCCTTCGGTCAAATCACTCACTGATTTGGCCCTTCTCGCCGAGGCCCATTGGGCCGTCTTGGCTGCCTCGGGGGGGCCTCTTGGGGGTCTCCAGAGCCTCTTGGGGGCCTCTCGGGGGCCTCTTGGGGGCCTCTTGGCGCCTCCTGGGCACCTCTTGGGGCCACCTTAGGGCACCCTTGGGAGCCTCGGGGGCCACTATGGGACCATCTTAGAGGAGATCGATCAACAGAGAGGTCTCCTTAGTCAGGGTGCCCCGAGGCCAACATGTGGCTAAAGTTTGGGAAAACAGCACGGATTTGGGCCTTCTCGCCGAGGCCTCTTGGGGCGTCTTGGGTGCCTCTTTCAGGCCTCTTGGGGCCTCTTGGGTGTTTTGGCGGGGCCTCTTGGGAACCTCTTTGGGGCCTCTTGGGGCCTCCTGGGCACCTCTTGGGGCCATCTTGGGGCACCCTTGGGAGCCTCGGGGGCCATCTTGGGCCATCTTGGAGGATGTCGATCAAAGGAGGGGCCGGACCATATTAGGTCCACCCCAGGAGGCCTTAATGTGGCCAACAAACTTGTAACATCAATGATTTGGGCTTCCTCGCCGGGGCCGCTTTAGCCGCTCTATAGCAAGCCGCCCCCCCCCCCCCATCCAGGTCCAGGGGGAGGGGGTTGAGGGAGGGGTCAAGCTACCCACCCGCCCGCAAGCCATCTAGCTCACTCCCACCCCACCCGCCCTCCCAACACATAAGTAACACCCGAGCCTCAGCATGTTCCGCGGTCGTCTTTGGATGGGCAGCTCCTGGAAACCAAAGCCGACCCTGGGTGCGCGACGCTTGGGCGAGGTGCGCCACGCGTGCCAGGGGCGCCACGCCGGCCAGGCACCCCTGGGGCCCGAGCGTGCCAGGCACGCCTGGTGCGCCAGATGTGCCACGTGCTCCGAGTGCGCCAGGTGTGCCGCCCACTCCAGCCGCGCCAGGTGCGCGCGCCACGTTCGGGGCACGTGCAGAGTGCGTCAGGTGCCCCTGCGCACGTGACAGCACACATCGGGAAACATGTCGCCCCCCACCATCCATGTCGAAAACCAATGCCCATCATTGTGTCTGGTGGGCCTGCGCACAGCAGGCCACGCGCCACCACCCCCGCCGTCCCTGTCAAAAACCATTTGACAGTGATCGCGGGATGGCCGCGCATGATCCAGATTTAGCCGCGAGGTGCATGTTGTACTGTTTTCTGTCAGGGATGGTAGCCCTGCGCGCAGCAGGCATATGCTGACAGCCCCGCCGTCCCGTCAATTGGCCTGGCGAAGGACCCAACCATATGCAGTGTTGAGTAACGCAGTTGTGAATATCATCTTCGGTGGAGCTCCCCATGGGGCCACGAAGCTTGTGAGGGTGTGCCGAATTGGGTGTGGGCACGCCATGTGCACTCTGACGTTAGGGCCTTCGGTGGAGCTCCCCATGGGGCCACGCAGCGTGTGAGAGGTGTGCCGAAGCGGTGCGGGTGCGCCGTTTTGGCTTTGCCGTTGGGGCCTTCGGTGGAGCTCCTTATGGGGCCACGGAAATTGTGAGGGGCGTGCCGAATCGGGCGCGGGTACGCCATGTGGACCCTGCCGTTGGGGCCCTCGGTGGAGCTCCCTACGGGGCCACAAAACCTATGAGAGGGCGTACCGAGTCGGGCGCGGGCACGCCATGTGGACCCTGCCCTTGGGGCTTTCGGCGGAGCCCCCTACGGGGCCCCGAAATGTGTGAGGGGCTTGCCGAACCGCGTTCGGTTACGCCATGTGGACCTTGCAGTTGGGGCCTCCGGTGGCGCTCCCTATGGGGCCACGAAACGTGTGAGGGGTGAGCCGAATCGGCCGCGGGTACGCCATGTTGCTCCCTGTGGGGCCACGGAACGTGTGAGGGGTGAGCCAAACCGGGTGCGGGTGCGCCATGTGGACATTGCCGTTGGGGCCTCCGGTGGAGCTCCGTATTGGGCCACGAAGCGTGTGAGGGGTGCGGGTACGCCATGTGTACCCTGCCGCTGGGGCCTTCGGTGGAGCTCCCTATGGGGCCACGAAGCGTGTGAGGGGTGTGCCGAATCGGGTGCGGTTGTGCCATGTTAACCCTGCCGTTGGGGCCTTCGGTGGAGCTCCCCATGGGGCCACGAAGCGTGTGAGGGGCGTACCGAATCGGGTGCGGGTACGCCATTGCGCCATGTGGAAACTGCCCCTGGGGCCTTCGGTGGAGCTCCCTATGGGGCCATGAAACGTGTGAGGGTGCGTTGACCCCCTGAAAGGACGGGAGGAGGGAGGAGGTGGAGGAGGAGGAGACGAGGAGGAGGACGAGGAGGAGGAGAGGTGGAGAGGAGGAGAGACGCGGGACACCGTCTCTTCAAAACGAGGCCACAACACCACAGGATGGTTGGGAAAAGCAATACAACGTGCTCGCGGGCCTCACGAACATGACTCAAGATTTTTTCCCGAAGTGTACTTTGTATGTTGTTTGAAAGGGATGGTGGGGGGAGGGTCGTCATGGTGTCCTCTTGGTTCCTGGTTGGACGCCGGTCGCCTGGGGGAGGGGGTGTATATTAGTAAGGAACAGTGATAAACCCCTCCCCGAAGGGGAGGAAGGGGGGTTAGAATGATAAACTCGCTAAACCACTCACGCCCTACAGGGCTGGTGGGATTCATCTTGTCCATGCCCTTGATGCTCTGCTCCTCGACGCCCGTGCACACGATGTGTCCGAGCTCTGCGTAACGCGTCTTTCGATCTTGGCCTGTTGCCATGGAGCTTCTGTTGGGCCGACGTTCATCTGTATCTGTAATCGTTCCGCCATTGCCGTCGTCTCACCCTGGAATTTGACTCCGAGGTTGTATATTTCAGTGTTGGGCACCCCTGCACAGTTTATCCATGTCGCGCAGGATGCCTCCGCCGCAACTTGAGGACTCTTGCTCTCCATCAGCTCGTGCTGAGAGAAGTGGGTGCCGTAATCGATGACGTCGGGGCCGATGTAGGATGTACCGTGGATGTCGTACTCCACTCGCAGGTCGAGGCCGACAGCCGCGTTGAATCTCTGCGGTGGCCTCGGTATCGACGCAGGTCGTACGGATTTAAGGGCCGCTCTCTGTTCACACAGGGAACAGTTCTAACGTTTGGCCCATGCGATATGAGCTGGTGACGCCTTGCTCGCCCGCAGACAGCGACGTAGAACAGCTCGCCCACAGTGTCCGAAGTTGACGTTGGCCTTTTTGATGTCGTTCTTGACGCGCTGCGATATCTGCATCTCCTTCGCGGTTGGTGTCGGAGTCTCTTCCATCGCCGAAGTCGCCTGCTGCACGACGTCCAGTGTAGGTACGTCTGGGAAGGATTCCTGTTCGGTCTCGAGAGTCTCCTGGTCCTCGAGGTCCATGTCGATAGGCGTCTCGGCCTCTCAGTCGGGTGTCTCCGGCACGTTCTTGTCCCAGCAGGGCTGTTCGTCGGAGGTTTGCACTCCCATCAGACTCTGCCTGCCACGTCTGCGCTTCCTCTCTGGTCCTGCCAGCTGCTCGAGATCCTGGTAGGGCGTTTTCTCCTCGAGCTTGTGCTTCTCGCCGCGCATGGCACTGACCTCCTGCCAGGGGGCCTCGTCGCCGTGTGCCGTCTCAGGGCGCGCCTCGTCGTAGCCGAAAGGAACTTCTGGGTAGGGTGTGTTGTTTTTCGTGGGTTGTCGTAATCGTTGCCAGTGTTGGTACTTGTGGTGACTCTTTCGCTGGTGGTTTCTTGCCCTCGCGGGCCTTCAGGATAGTCTTCGTGGTCGAGATACGTCGTTTCACCCTCCGACGTCGTCGGAGCCGGTGTTGTCGAAGGTTGTGTCGGAGACGGGGTTATCGTTTCAGCTTCTTCTGGTGGTAGTCGAGGTACGGTATGGGCCGCATGGGGGGCTGAGGAGTCCCAGCCTCGTCATATACCTGTCGATGTGGTGGTGGTGGTGGTGGACGGCGTACAGGAGGCACAGGTACAGGTGGTGGAAGTTCCTTGACCTCGTCGCGAAAACTCACTCTCCTTACTTGAAAAGCTGCCCGAACTCGCTGAGCCTGGAACTGGTGTTTCATCATCGTTCTTCCTGATGTTATATCTTGCTCGGCGTCGGTCGTCAGGTTCATCTGCCGTTCGCTTATCGACCGCCTTCTCGTTGAGCTGTTGGCGCTTGGCAAAGTCGAGCAAATTCCGTATCAGGGCATGTTCGCGTCCGTCCATGAGCGTTTTTTTGGTGTTGTGGGTTGTCGTGTAGATGCCGTGCTCAAGCACGGGTCTCGGATGCGTCCGATTGGGTAAGTAGTAGTAGTTTGGTAGTTCCATCTTGAAGCCCATGACCAAGTCCGTGGCGAACTCCATGTTTTGGCCGCCGCAGTGCTCGCTGAGCTACATACGTTTCGGGTGTCCTGGCACCCCGACGCTGCTGTTGATGTGCTTGTGGCGGTGGCTTCCGTCGCACTCGATGCAGACCTGCTCGAGGGCGGACCTCGATGTCGAAGCCATTCATGTACCTATTGATGTAGTAGCCCGTTTCAAGGCACCGTAGGTTATGCAGGCACATGCTCACAAAGCCTTCGTTGCGTTCTCGGACTGCCTCCTGGATCTCCTTCAGCTGTGTGCTTGACGTTGACCACGCCTGCTCGGTGAAGAACTGCTGTCCATCTCGTCGTGGGCGGTCCTGATCTTTAGTCACGAACTGGCTGATGCCTCTATCGGCGATCTGCATTCCCTGCAGCCTTATACGTTGTTTCGCCGTCTTGCGATTCATATGTTGCATGCGGGGCCAAGGCTTGCAGAGGAAGGCGAACACGACGACGTCGGGGGCCACCTTCTCGATGTATGTCCATGCTTTGGTTCTCGCCGCGTTGGTCCTCAGTTCGCAACCCGTCTCCGAGTTCACGGGATCTGACCCACGCCAGCCTCTGTCACAGGCTATTCGCGTCACGATGCACGCAGGTACAGATCTCTAGGAGCCTCGGACGCCTCGGCGCTCTCACACGTCGAGCCTTCTTCTCCTTGGCCTTGTGGTCGTAGGCGCCTTTGAGCACCTCGGTGCACGTTGCAAGCCCCTTCCTGGCGCCCTGGCTGGTTCGGTGCAGCTCGTGCTTCATCACCTCGTAGGTGCCGTTGTCCCTCTCGTCGTCCAGGGTCTGGTTCTCCTTGGCCGCCTCCTGGTCGTCGACGCCGATGTAGAACTCGTCCAGCACGCAGTCCAAGTCGCCGTATTCGTCGACCTTTAGCATGGGTTGCCCCGAATGGCTGTCCTGGATAGGGCGCGTCTCGGAGCCCACGCGGATCTCGTCGGTCCATGTGAGGATGTCCGCTACCCCGTTCCCATGTCCTTCAGGGCTGATCTGCTGAGCAACACTGGGCAATCCCGCTCGATGTAGCTCACGTCGAGCTAGCCCATCTTGCCGTAGATTCCAATCGGATCGGCGTAGACGATCGTCGCATGATTCACGTCGCCCTCACCGAACCTGAAGCTTTCGTCCACCGACCTTTCCACGGGCTTGAGACTTCGTTTCGCGCACCTCTTCGTCATTGCGGCATGCCACGGCGGTCCGGCACTCCTACGACATCCAGTATCTGCGATCATGAAGACGTCTCCATGTGACAGGTGATCGACACAGTAGTGCATGTTCAGGTCCTTCGCGTCGGTGTCGTTGCTGGAGCCGTTGATGGCCTGGCTGACCATCCCGATGAATTAGCTAGCCTTCTCGCCCTTATAAGACTCTACCTTGTTCGCCTCCTTGCCGTGGTGCAAGAGCCGCAGCCTTTTGGCACAGGACGCGCACTTCATCCAGTATTCGTGCAGGTTGTCGTAGGTCTTCGTGTTCCAGTGCGCACAGCACGCACCACGGTAAATAGGTGGCGAGTGGCGACTGTCTTGGCGGCGTTGGCGGGGTTGGATTGGTCAGCACATGATTGGTAGCAATCTCCCTCGCCAGAGGGGCCAGATTCTTCTCGAACTCGGGTGCTGCCCACCCGAACCTCACAGCCACCATAGGCGTCTCCGCCGTCGTCGCGTCCGTCACCTCGTAGTCGCCTGTGGTGTCCTCGGCGAAATCCTCGAACTCCTTTGCATCGGTTGTCGGGGGGTCACCGATCCTCACGTCAACGTGATAGCTACCGGATGCGCGGTTGCCGCTTTGCGCTCCAGCATCTCGTTTCACACATGGGACCACTTCGCCATATTTGACTTTCGCACAGTCAGGGTCGCCACTCCAGTTGCTGTACTCTCCGCAGTCTTAGTCTTGGGAGTGTCCCTTTCTCCTGACTCATCTCCCGAGGGTGGCTTCTTTCCTTCGAATGCTCCCCAGTCTTTCTGCACGAACTCCTCGAACTCCTCTTGGTCTGCTTCTGGTCTGAAGCCTCCTCGTCTGACTCTTCTTGGCGAAGTCTTGAAATTGAGCTTCTTCTTTTATGTCCCAGTCGTCGTAGTCATCTCCGATGGCCGAGTCGCTTTGCTGATCAGATTCTTCACCGTTCTCGTTGTTGTAGGTACCGTACTTTCCTTTTCCGCTGTCGTATCGGCCATTGCGACCTCCGTACTTTCTTTTGGGCCCTTTACCACCGCTGCTTGGCATTGATGGTCCATAGCTTGACTTACTTCCTCGGTCTCCTCGTAGTCGCACACCAGGGTACCGAGATGCCGACCCTTGATGGCGTAGGCTATGGATGTGGGCATCTCCATGCAGCATGATCAGCGCTTCCTCGATTTTGCTGAGGTCCCATATTTCCTCGATCGTAGACAGGACATGATTCTGCTCATCCTGACTGAGGCCACAGCTCTTTAGCATCTTCCTCTCGTAGGCCTTCTGGGATAATCTCCTGACCGGCGAGCTCATACTCGATCTTGAATTTGAGTAGCTCCGTCAAGAAGTCAGCCCTTCTCTGCTTAGCGGATCACCGGCACATGTCGTAACGGGCCGATGCGTTGGCGAAGTGTCAGTGTTTTTACCGCTTGTCCAGCACCGCGAGCAGCCTCTTATGTTTGTTGCCGATCTCGTCCGTCAGCTCGTTAAACGGGGTGTGCTGGCAGACGCCACGGGCCTCGCCATGCAATGGCAAGAACGTCACCACGGCGAGTTTCCCGACGCACATGTCCGAAATGTAGCGCACGCTCTCAACCGAACGCTTCCAGTTCTCGTAGACAGTTGAGTTCCTGCTGCCGCTGAACACGTTGATCTTGAGGCCACTGATGCGTCCGCCCTCGGTGATGTCGGCACGCGGTGCCGCTACCGAGCCGGTTCCCTTGGATCCGTCTGTGGTCCCAGGAATCTCCGCGTCAAGCCACTCTTCGTCGTTGCCGAGGCTGCTCAACTCGCTCACGCTGGCGGCCGTGATGTCTCACAGCTCCACTACCAGCGCGAAGGCCGCACTAGCAACGCTGGGCTCTCTGATGACTGGCTGGCTTGCTGATGCACGCATGGATGAGGCCTGGGCCCCGCGGAGACCGATCGCTCGGCAGCGGCCACCTGCTGGGGGAGAGGCGGCCCGACTTCTTTCCAAGCCGATGCGACTCAAGGCCTGATCCGGTACTGCGGCGGACGGGCGCACGGGGCACCGGGCGAGGAGGGAGAGGAGAGGACAGAGGAAAGATTTAGGCGTCGGTCGGGGGGCCCTCAAGGCCCTGGATCCTGAGGGGTACACATCAGCGCCCAGGATCGGACCCCGGACCAACAAGAAGGCCCGGGACAGAACGAGATCCGGATGCGTGCGAGCGGTAACTTTACATGTTCTTCCGTGCGGCGATCGGCTGGCGCCAGGCGTGCGGAGGGCAGCCGCCCATCCCAGCTGTGGCCAGGACGAGGCCTTCGGCACGGCGTGGCCGCAGGCTGGCGGCTCGCCGAGCTGGCCTGCGTGGCGGCCCAGGTCGACGGCTTTCTCGAGGTGCCGCTGAGCGCGGACGAGTCAGCCAGATTTACGCCAGAGGTCGTGCTGACGCCACAGGTCGAGTACGACGGTACTGTGGCCGTCGCTAAGTTCGGCGATGTGCCGAGCGAGGCAACCCAAGAGCTCGTCGAGGCGGGGGCCGACGTCGTGCCGGAGGCGTTCGAGGTGAACCCTACCGACGGCACCGACGGCGACAAGGACGGTGCTTCGGATACCGCCGTGCAGTCGGAGGGCGGCGTTATGCAGGCGGCGGTCCTTGTCGCTGAGTTTCTGATCGAGTTGTTCCTGGACTCCGCCGGGCGCGGCGACGACCCCGATGAGGGCGGCCCTGGCGCTCCTTGACCTGGCGCTCTCGCAGGTAGTGGAGCCTTTCGGTGTCGCCGCCCACGCCCACGCGGAGAGCTTGGAAGAACCGCTGGGGCCTGTCCACTGCAGGCCCCATGGGCCGTGGGCTGCAGGATTCGTTCTCCAAATTGCGCGGATGCAGAGGCCGGTGGATGTGGTTGGCGAAGTGCTCGACGCGGAGGGCGGAGGGTGGGGCCTATGCCACGCGGGGCTTCCGCGTCCGCGTCGACCTTCAGCCCTGCGTCTACGAGGTGCAGGCCGAGCGTGTCGAGCGCTGGTTGGTGGTGAACGACTCCGGCGACGACGACGTCGACGACGACGTCGACGACCCCTACAGCGAGCCTGAGCCCGTGGGTCCCGATTGTCTCGAGGTTCCCTGGCCTGTGCGGGTAGCCGCCGAGGAGGCCATCCACTGCCGTGACCGCGAGGACCGTGTCCTGTTCTGCTATCCACTGGGGCCGTGGTGCGTCATTGGCGGCTTCAGGGCTACAAGCCCAGGCGGTACATACTGGCTCGGCCGATGTGATGGCTCGAGTGTTGACGCGAGTGCCACTTCCATTAGCCATGTCTTACCGGGGCTTAGTCTTAGGTGTGTCCAGGATGCAGTTGCCCCGCCATTAATTATTGTATTTGATGTATTGAGTGCAGCACGTGCCAAGGGTGTCGGTGCCTCCATCTTGCCGAGGGTGGGTTGAGAGTGCTGCAGTGGGGTGGGCGCGGGCCATGCGTCGGATATTGGCTGGCGAGCGCCCGCGTCCCCTCCTGGCCTGAGCATGCGCGTCGACCTTGCCTGCATGGCCCCGCACAGCACGGGAGACCATGCGCGAGACCACACGGGAGACCATACGGGTGAGCATACGAGAGACCGTATGGGAGAGCATGCGGACGACCGTCGGAGATCGAAAGGGCTCACATCTGGCCTTAGAGAAGCTGGTTTGAACACCTGCGGACGAGGTCTTGCGACCATGAGGTATGGATACTCGCTGGGGCCGTTTCTGCAGGGGAGGCGCGAGACGGGCTAGCGAGCAGCAGGGTGTGGCCAGTTAGCTGTGTTGTTTATCAAGATGTATAGAAATCTATGTCTATGTGTAGATAGCGCGCGTTCCCCAAAAAGTGCTTGCACTGGGGGCTTCTTACTTCTCTACCTAAGGAATTGGTAGGATCTAGCGAAGATGTTCCATGCTGCCGCTGGGTGGGTCCTGCGAGGTTTCGCCACGTCGCGCCTCGTTGTCGCCTCGCTGCTGCCTCGTTGCCGCCTCGTGCGCTGAGTGGATCGGGCGAGGTTTCGCGACGTTGCCGCCCGTTGCGGCCTCGTTGCTGCTTCGTTACCGCCTCGCGCGCTGGGTGGATCTGGCGAGGTTTCGCCACGTTGCCGCCTCGTTGCCGCCTCGTGCGCTGGGTGGGTCCAGCGAAGTTTCGCCACCTTGCCGCCACGTTGCCGCCCTGTTGCCGCCTCGTGCGCCGGGTGGGTCGGCCGAGGTTTCGCAACGTTGCCGCCCGTTGCCGCTTCGTTGCCGCCTCTAGCTTACAACTCGCATTGCACGGTGTAGCTTGCAACCGTAACTTAGCGTTTGAGGTCCACGCTGGTCGATACACACATATATTGCATAAGTGGGTATATACACACACGCTGCATGTATATAATCTAGATGCATGTACACATACACACGCTGCGTGTTGTATGTATGTATATACACGTGTGTGCATATCTGTATACATATATGTATACATGTAACTGTGCATTTGCATGTACATCATGCTTAGAGGATGCCCGTTGCCTTCAACGCTGGTCTAGATGCTCACCTCTTTGCTGTGTACCCTCGTTCTGTGGCCGAAATGGTCTTGGAGCACCACAGTGCTGGTGGCTCGAGAGTCATTGGTGCGGAGGGCGACCCTTCTCGGGCGAGTCAGGTATTCGGATGTTCTTTTTCTCGGCGTCGTGCAAACACCACGCCGAGCCATTCCTTCAACTTTTGTTTACAGGGCTTCGCTTTGAGACCCAGGACCAGCAACAGCGTCCCGCGTCGATGAGCCGGTCTTGGGAGAGGGGTCGAGGGTTCCAGAGGGCCGCGTCGCCACCGTCTTTCCAGTACTGTTGGAGAACGTTGCGTGCTCCAAGTAATGGTAGCCAGAACGATCATGGAGCCAACTGAGTGCGAACAACAACGTTGTTGCGGCTTTTACCTTTCCGAGTGGTAACGGTTTCGATGGCGCGGGCGATGATGGCGCGCGGTAGAGAACCTCATGAAGATTGGGTCTGTTCTTAACGGTGGCTACGCCGATCTGTTTGTTGCGAGTGCCTGCCTTCCTCTCTGGCTGGCACTCTTTATGAATGAATCCGCTGAGGGCCTGAATTGGGTAAGCTGAAAAGGGATACCTTCCTTGTTTCAGAGGGGGTCACACTGTATAGACGAAGCCAAGGACAACGTATCTATCTGTCAGCACCCACCATAACGCACGTAGCTTCTCTTGTCCTGCCTTTGACACCCTTCTGCACCACGTCCTGTGTTTAGCTGCCACCATGGAGAGGGCTCAATATGCTGCGGCCCACTCAGGCGAGGGCTACCTGCAAATGTGGCCGCACGTCCTTCCAGCGCTCGGCCCCCTCGTGGCCGGGCACGCGGCACGCCGGCCCCTCGGCAAGCGTATTCAGCGTTTGTGTGAATCTGGCCTCGTGCGGTTGCAGCATCCTGGCAGTCCCACCACGCTCAGCTGTTTCCTCATCCCTGTCCGGTGATTCTGCTCCCCTCGCTCTCCCCGTCCTCCACCCTCTGCGCTGATGCGGCCTGGCGCTTCGGAATCATTTATGTAATCGCCGACGCTTGTTTTTTACCTCCCTGGTGCAGTTGCTGTGACGCTTAGTTCGCGCCGCAGGAAAACGGGTCATAGCATGATATTGTTGGCGAGCAGAGACAGGCGCAGGAGCAGGATGATGGCAACTTCACGGGGCGATCGTAAGGAGAAAGAGGGGGGAACAACCGGGGTAGGAGGCGGAGGAGGAGGAGGAGAAGGCGGCGGAGGACTATTGTTGACAGCTCTTTGTGTCGTTGGCGATGACGACGACGATGAGGAGGAGGAGAAGGGTGGTGACGATGATGACGACGATGGCGACGGCGATGGTGACGCCGACGATGGATTGGTCGGAGCACCGGCGAATTCGTAGCAGAGGACAGAGGTTCGCTTGTATTGCTCTGGTGCCCAGATACGGCCCGCGGAGGCTGAAATTGAAAAAACGGACCGCTGGACATTTGGGCTCGCACCAAGAAAGCACCCAACCGCGATGCGGTCAGTAATTGCTCGGTCAAGGGCATCGGCACGGTACGCCCTCTGCGCGGCTGCTCGAATGTTGGGGAGAGGGAAACTTGCCACGGTGGCATCACACTGGCAGTGCACGTGCGGGGTCAGGAAAGGGAAAGAAAGGGTTCTCCTCTTCTCCCCCTCCCTTATCCTCCCTCTCCCTGCCTCCCCCTGCCCCTCATCCTCTCCCTCATCCTCTCTCTCCCTGCCTCTTCCTACCCCTCCTCGTCCCCTTCCTGATCCCCCCCTTTTCGAATCTGTAAGTCGCTGCAGCGAGGTTCCAAACTCGCGATGATTCAACTAATCATACTGATTGTGCTTGCGAGCAGCAATGCCCATGCGTATGCGCAGGCACCGAGGCGTGTTTCAGTGTCGACGTGGACCTGTCCCTCCACCGCCATTCACGCTACAACGCTTACCCGAGATGCGCAGAAGAGCATCTTCTGCCCCTGTTCGGCCCCTCAGTGCGCCCCCTTGGCCACGTCTGCCCGCAGCTCGAGAGACTTGGCTCGGAAAAAAGGCGCCTTCCTCAAACACTGGCCTGGTGGAGCAGGGCGACAGCCAGCACGACACAACGATTGCCCGAGGCACGCAGAGGAGGGTCGTGCATCTGAGCGTCTCTGCTCCTGTCGGGCCTCCTGGGTTGCCCTCGTGGCCACGGCTGCGCGCGGCTCGGGAGGCCGGCCTCCTATTCCCTCCCTCCCCTCCTGTCTCCCCCTTTCCTCTTCTCTGAACTGCCGCCGAGGACCCTCCAATCGCTGCCCCGAAAGCCAGCGAACACCACCGAAGATATCCTCCCCCTCCGCATTCTCCACCTCCCACCTCCCCTCCCTTACCCGGGCAGATGCGTGCGGAGGAGGATGCGGAATGTAAAACAACGATGAAGAAGAGAAGGAGGAAGAGGAGGAGGTGGAGGAGGAGGAGGTGGAGGAGGAGGAGGAACAGCAGTAGCACTGTGAGCACTGTGAAGAAGGCGCTGCCTCTCGTGGGGGGTCTCCCCGCCTAGCCCCCTTATATCCTGCCACTTCACACAAGCCAGAATGGCAAGCTACAGTGATCCAACGGCCTTGTGGAGTCTCGGCCCATGCGCGCTGCACTGCCCCGCACGGGTTGGGCGGCACGGCACGGCCGCTTCCCCCGCACGAATGACTTGGCAACGCTTGCGCACCATTGCCAGAACAGCTACACGAGGCACAATTATGCGTGCTGCACTAAGTACCTCGCCATACATATTCCGACTACACCGCCAGTGCGTAATAGACTATCTTCGTCAACGAGACCTTCCCACACTGGGGTTGTCGGCAGTGGCCCGCTTCTAGTAGGCCAAGACGAGCGCACCGCCCACAAGAGCAACTGCCACCTCACAGTGGCATACCCTGCAAGGGCGTCTTTGAAGGAAGCGGCTAAGAGGGCGTTGCTGGAAGCACACGCCCTTGCCGGAGCACCTGTCGCTGATTCCTGTCGGGAGCCTCGAGACGGGGGTCAGTGCAAACGGGGGTCAGCCAGAGCGCCAGATCCTGCAGGATCCTGCGAAGGCCCCCTCTGGCTAACCCGGGTTAGCGAGCCGCTCGTGGCCGCGAGGCGGCCGCGCATATTGGCTGACCCGGGTTTGCGAAGATTTGCGTTGCAGTTTTTTTTCTTGCATTGCAGTTTTTGGTTTCCTGCTGACTCGGGTCTGGATTGACCCGGGTCAGAAGATCCCCGATCTTGCCAGGTGTTGGAGGAGAAGGTGGAGGAGGAGGATGAGGAGGAGGAGCCGCGCAAGCACCAGGAGGAACCCGACCAGCTCTTTGATTCCAACGCCGGCCTCAGCCAGGAGCTTGGCGAACACCATCAACCCGCCAGCGATTGCGACCAAATCCGTGACGCCCGTCAGACCATCTAGGTCGAGAGCGCAGACCACGCCCTCGAATTCTTGGGGATTCATGCCACGTTCTGCTTGTCCGGCAGCATCACCAGCGCCCAACTGAACGACGTTTGCGCCGCGATTCCCCCTTCCACGTCGGAGTTGGCGCGCAACGCGGTGTACCCCCTCCATGATACAACGCGGTTTCAAGCAGGTGGGGTCTCCCCCATATGACGCACTGCTGCAAACAGTCGCATGAAGCAGAGGTCCAGAGCCAGACAGCCCCCCTCCCCTCCCCCCTCCCGCCCAATGTCGAAACGCCAAGTAAAAAACGTTCACCATAGCAGATGTGCTCCCAGATGGCGACCAGAAGGAGCTGTCCGTCGAGGAGGACACCCCTGAGGACAAGCAGAGCTTCGAGGCGCCTAGTAGCGCCTGCCAAAGGACCAGTGGAGCTTCGAGGACTGAGACGTGCAATCTAGATCAGGGGCGCAGGGGGCCTGCGACAACAACCCCCACGTTCGGTAGCCCATCATGTGAGCTTCGTATACCTTCTCAACTTCGTCTTCACAGTGCGTTGGCGTCGACTAGCGTCTGGTAAAGAAGTCCAATCGAGACTACCCGGAGGAAATTACGGAAAACGAAGATCAAATCTAGCCATGCTGCTGGCAACACTGCCAATCGCAGAGCCTTTGACGCCATCCGCGGCCCGAGCACATGCCAACCAGCCTGAAGGAGTCGCTCGAGGACGAACGGGAAAGGCTCGACCGAGCCTGCCGCGGACTTCAGGCCCAGCCCCAGGACATCTGGATCCGTTTCAACCAGAGGAAGGGTCCTGAAAACAGGTGCAACGGCGTCACGACAACTGGCCTTGGGTAACGTCGGCATCTCGCTCATCACCTTGAGCAGCTCTTCTGACACCGCAACGGAGGTGGAGGCCGCAGACGATGGACATCCCGAATTGCCCTCTCCGAGCGCCCCTCCTTGGCATGGGGGAACCGCTGCGAGGCGGCGGCGGCCTTGCGCCGCCGGACGCGTGCTGCTCAGGAGGGGATGTCAGGGTTAGCAGGTCGGTGGCATGGAGTATCGGATGGGGTCGGGCGTTGTTGGGTGCCGCCGAACTTGCTATCTGAGGGCAGCCGGTGCTGCCGAGGGCAACCCTTGCCCTCGGGATTGGGGGAGCCTCGATGGCGTTGGCGGCCCCGTTCGCGCCCCTCTCTCTCTCTCTCGCCGTCCTTTTCCCTCCTCGCCTCCCTCGCCTCCAGGCGCCCCCCCTGAATATCCAGCTCAAGCACAGGTGGCCTGAGGCGCGCGTCGTACCCGTATGGACTCGAACTTGCCATGGGACGCCTAGCTCCGTGTTTCCACGTCGGCACCTGAGGGGCACCGGTCACCACTCTTCATGTCGCGGCAGGTCGACCGGTGGCTAAACGGAGCGAGTTTCGTTCGGTGTTCAAGCAGGATTTCATCAAGCAGTCAGGCGTCATCAGCTCCAATGCGTGCATCTCCCAAATTCGTTTGGGAGGGTATTGCATTATATTTTCTGGTGGAGCGGTGCATTTGCTTATTCCCTACCTAGGCTCTGCCTAGAAGGGTTCTTACTCTCTTTGCTTAAAGGGGCCGGGCAGTGCTACACGCCCCGGGCGGTTCCCCCAGTCCCCGCCCCGCGGTTCCCCCAGTCCCCTGGGAGCTTTAGCCTTAGCTTTAGCTTTAGCTTCAGCTTTAGCTTAGCTTTAGCTTAGCTTTAGCTTAGCTTTAGCTTAGCTTTAGCTTAGCTTTAGCTTAGCTTTATCTTAGCTTTAACTTAGCTTTAGCTTAGCTTTAGCTTATATGTATATTAGCTTCAGCTTAGTGTTAGCTTAGTTTTAGCTTAGCTTTAGCTTTAGCTTAGCTTTAGCTTAGCTTTAGCCTAGCTTTAGCTTAGCTTTAGCTTAGCTTCAGCTTATTGTTGTCTTAGCTTTAGCTTAGTGTTAGCTTAGCTTTAGCTTAGCTTTAGCTTAGCTTTAGCTTAGCTTTAGCTTAGCTTTAGCTTAGCTTTAGCTTAGCCTTAGCTTAGCCTTAGCTTATCTTTAGCTTAGCTTTCGCTTAGCTTCAGCTTAGCTTCAGCTTAGCTTTAGCTTAGCTTTAGCTTAGCCTTAGCCTAGCTTTAGCTCAGCTTTCGCTTAGCTTCAGCTTAGCTTTAGCTTAGCGTTAGCTTAGCTTTAGCTTAGTTTTAGCTAAGCTTTAGCTTAGCTTCAGCTTCAGCTTAGCTTTAGCTCAGCTTTAGCTTAGCTTTAGCTTAGCTTTAGCTTAGCCTTAGCTTAGCCTTAGCTTATATTTAGCTTAGCTTTCGCTTAGCTTCAGCTTAGCTTCAGCTGAGCTTTAGCTTAGCTTCAGCTTAGTGTTAGCTTAACTTTAGCTCAGCTTTAGGTTAGCTTTAGCTTAGCTTCAGCTTAGTGTTAGCTTAGCTTTAGCTTAGCTTTCGCTTAGCATTAGCTTAGCTTTAGCTTAGCTTTAGCTTAGCATTAGCTTAGCTTTAGCTTAGCTTTAGCTTAACTTTAGCTTAGTGTTAGCTTAGCCTTAGCGTAGCTTCAGCTTAGTGTTAGCTTAGCTTTAGCTTAGCTTCAGCTTAGTGTTAGCTTAACTTTAGCTCAGCTTTAGGTTAGCTTTAGCTTAGCTTCAGCTTAGTGTTAGCTTAGGTTTAGCTTAGCTGTTGCTTAGCATTAGCTTAGCTTTAGCTTAGCTGTAGCTTAGCTT